CATTTTTACAAGCTAAGGTAAAGTTTCTACTAGCCCAGAAAAATAAAAAAAAATTGAAACCTTTGAGTTGTATTATTTTATTCCATTTCATATTGAATTACTCTTCTTTTCATATTTCTTCTGCTTATCTTCTCATTTTGTATTTTTCTTCTGAGTCAATGATAAATAAATTAATCAATTATTGTGATATCTACATGTATTTTCCATAAAATCGGAATGGAGGAAATTCGGATTAGCAGAAAAAAAGACGATCCTTTTCATGGTTTTAAGAAATAAATAAATAATATAGAAGTGCTAAAAGAATTAGATAGAAGAGATATGAACAAGAGAACCACACTTCTTTGATTTTTTTTTCATTGGTTGGGGATTTAAAAGCAAAACTTGGAAAATACCTGCTATTTTTTCACTAGCCCGTCGGGCTATTTACTAGCCCATAGCAATTTAAACTAACCTCTATTGTCAAAGTAAAGGGTGTTTTTGGAATAAAAAAAACTAATCACTGACTTCAAACCGGCACAATCATTATAAAAAGTATTAAAATCATGAAAACGCAATTCTGATCTCCAATTGGCGGCCACTTTTGATTATACGTGTTATGTAAATTTTGAACCGAACCGAATTCCGGAATTCTGGATCGGTGCACCGAATCGAACAGTATGAACCGCGGTGCACCGACATTTTCGGTGCACCGCACAGCCCTAGTAAAATTACGCAGCCTTTTGATATGAAGTGTTCATTTCTAAAAGTTTTAAAGTTTAAGTAACAAAAATTAAAAGGTTGTACTATACATGTATCCTTCATCTTTGATACAAAATGTTTTTATCCCCATTAAAGGAAAACATGTTCTGTGACTATTAGAGCAAGAGTTAGCGCATTCTTAGGTTCGTTTTATCACATATTATAAATAAGTTTTCACAGTTGTCATTATTTAAAAAATCAAGATAATTTTCTTAGCTGGTGTCAAAAAGAGAAACCTATTAAATAGAGAATGTATAGTTTCCATAATTGTAATCCTCTTTGATTTAACTCTGGGTAAATAATGTGCAAAAAGCCAAAAATTCAAAATAAAGTCTCAAACTTTTTTTTCAGAAGTTATAAGAAAGGTTAACGTTAACATTTGGACCCTACCAAAATAAAACTTCATGAAACAAATGGGCGATTGCTAAGGAAATTAGATCTCATAAAGATCTTTTCAAATTTCTTTATTGTCCTTCTCATAAAAATGTAGGAAAGATTAAATTTATGAAAAATAACAGACATGACAAAATCAGTATGCCTCTGACCTTCGAACTCAGGGTCCAGGCAATATTTATCACCAGGGTGGGACCAGTGCAAAAAAATAATAATTATTCATTTTAAAAAAGTCTTGGCCCCACACCTTAAAGAATGAAAAAAGTACCTGATCCATCCTCATTTTGTTTAGAAAAGTGAAATTAATATTTCTACATATATAACATGATCTGAATTATCATCAGCTATCTAGAAGTGTGGGGTATAGATGACTATCAATTGTAGCTACATACTCCATTCAGTTGAAGTAAAATAGGCATTTTCCTTTTCAGAACCAAAATTTTTATGTTTTGGAAATTTGAATGTGATTTTGGGATAACATGCAACTTGCCATGTTTCAATGAAAAATAAAAGAAAAAGTTATGGTCAATTACGAGAATACAACCATATGGATTGATTGACCCTAAGATGATGATTGTTGGATCCATGCTTTCTATGAAAATTCAAGTTCTCATTAAATATCAGAAGCTCTATTTTTCTAAATCAGTAGCATTAAGAAATTTTAGTTTGATTATCCACGCCTGTAAATACATATTAAAAATTAAATTTAACAAGGACACCGCAAAAAGGAGCATCCCTCGCAAAGAGCTTCTCTATAAATGCAAGGGAGCATTCGAAATCGATCCCGATGCAGATTACGTCACTTCCGTTTCGCACAGGACATAACCCACACACACGATCGATTACGTTACTATATCCCTCCAAATCCGTTGCGAGGGGATAATCAGATTTGCAAGGTGTGTACCAAAGCTATTAGAGGTATCCCTCATCTTCCTCTATCGCTCAAATGCAATATGGCTCAGATATTTTTATATACATAATTTAACTCGTCTTTTATACATTTCCAAAAATGGTGTTGTATTACTTGTTATAGCATGTAATTTCTTAATCTAAAATAATATATTGTAAAAAGACCTGAATTTCCATTGACAGCATCTATAATCATGTAAAGGTCAGTCAATTGCTATTCGTGTGTTCTCTTAACTAACCATATAAGGTAAATTTGGTCTTAATTTTCTTGTAATAACCCACCATACTTTCTAAATCTAAAATGATATCTTAATTTCCAGACAATTTAGAAATGTTAAAGGAGACAGATGACAGATTAGCACTTAATGTCAGGTCTAAATAGCTGAAGATGGAAGGAACCTGTGATTCTATAGGGTTTCTTTTAGGCTTATATATTACTACACATATATGACTATGAAATGTTCTCCCACTTTTTATGCTGCGTTTGACCAGCACTTTAGGTGTCAATAATTTAGTTAAGGAAAGTGGTCTGTTACCAGCTTATCTTTTGAGATTTACAAACCAAACTTAAGATATACGATGCATATATTTTAAAGACGTTTTACAGATCAGGACAACTTTTTGGTCTGTTTTCAGTTTATAAAAAGGGTACACAAACCAAACTTCCTCCTGAGGTGTATCTACATATCGATGATCATTTCAATGGGTGCTTTGCATGCTTCATCTGGCCTAGATTTCATGCTTCCGTGATTCATTAAGAACAGTTTCAATTTTGTCTTATCACAAGGAGTTTACAAAGCAAACTTCCTTAGAGCATTCCTGGATGTTCTGTTTAATGCATTTGTACAAATCTGCATTCTCTTTGAGTATGTCCCACTGGATGCACTTTTCCACTTAGGAGACAGCTCTAGTTCTCAAAAGTGATTTGATGAAAATTTACCTCAAAGAAAAAAACCTATACACTAGTCTGATAAAATGATATGTGTTTTTAAAGCTCCTATACAAATCATATTCAATTGTATGCTATATATAACTGTTTTGCATCCATACATGGTTTGTGGGATATCTCCCACAAAGGATATATATATATATATATATATATATATATATATATATATATATATATATATATATATATATATATATATATATATATATATATATATATATATATATATATATATATATATATTGCTATGATATGGTTTGTTGGTCCAAACCCACAAGTATGCTGCACTTTACCCCTTAGGAAACACCTCTAGTTCTCACAGGTGCTTTGATGAAAATTTACCTCAAAGAAAAAAACCTATATACTAGTCTGATAAAATGATATGTGTTTTTTGAGCTCCTATACAAATCATATTCAATTGTATGCTATATATAACTGTTTTTGCATCCATACATGGTTTGTGGGATATCTCCCACAAAGAATATATATATTTTGCTATGATATGGTTTGTGGGTCCCTACCCACAAGTATGCTGCACTTAACCCCTTAGGAAACAGCTCTAGTTCTCACAGGTGCTTTGATGAAAATTTACCTCAAAGAAAAAAACCTATATACTAGTCTGATAAAATGATATGTGTTTTTTGAGCTCCTATACAAATCATATTCAATTGTATGCTATATATAACTGTTTTTGCATCCATAAATGGTTTGTGGGATATCTCTCACAAAGAATATATATATATACAGTAAAACTTGTTGAATCCGGATGTTGTGCATTCCGGCATGTTGTTCAGTCCGGCGTAATATTTTAGTCCCTTAAATTTTCTTTACAATTTATGTTTAATAAATGTTGTTCAATCCGGATCTTGCCTATTCTGTAAACCGGCCGCTATTTAAAGAACCAACTGCTCATAATTAGTACAAATTATCTCCTCTAATCCGACCACTTATTTTTACCTGTGCCCGCTGGTCATAAGAGAAGTCTCGCGTGGGTAATTATTGTCCCGTTAATGATCTACAATGTATCCTGTATTGACAGTTTAGTTTTTAACAAACGTGATAAAAAAAATCATCAATGGCTCAAGTAAGGCGAAGAAATTCGCAAAAGAAAGAGTGATAGTGGTGGTTGCGTGTAGCATTTCTGTAGAAAACTTGGAAACTTATTCATGACCTCCTTTCTACTTTCGCTTTGCGGGCACGATGTGCAATTCGAATTACTTCCCTTTGTGTCGCTAGTTTACAACGACCATAACGACAGAAGATTTTGGTTCAATATTCATTATAACATTTGAAATTAACGAACACTGTGTCTAAATATTCAAACATATTAATTTTAAAAGAAAGAAATTAATAAGGAATCTGTCCCTAACAAAATAATATTTACAGCTACGATGAGGTTTTGGAGTGTGTTTAAGACATTTAACGATTTTTAAATTTAATGAATGACCAAGAGATATAAAACTTAAACAGAAATGAAAATGCTGAAGAACAAACAAGAGTTCAAAACAAACGAACTAGACGATTTTTTCAAGTGAAACGTAAAAAATGACACATTTGATTAAGTATTTATTTACCACTCTTTTTTATATCTATGTAATTTTTAACTTGCTATAACGGTTCAATTTTCTCCAATCCGGATGTTGTCTAATCTGGCCAAAAATTTTGGAACCACTGGTCGCCGGATTAGACAGGTTTTACTGTATATATATATATATATATATATATATATATATATATATATATATATATATATATATATATATATATATATATATATATATATATATATATATATATATATATATATATATATATATATAGCTATGATATTAGTACATTAAACACATGTAGATTAAAATTTTTAAAACCTGTTTTAGCTAGTACTGAAAATGACAAGAAAAGTTTTTCTGAAGCATAACTGTATATTTCTTTCTACAAATTTCACTACATTGTGTTTTCTTTTGAATTAAGGATATATAATGGAAGAATGTAACAAATGTCAGAAAGTAAATCAACCACCGAAAAAACGAAGAATTGCACCAAGTATCCCTCCAACAATGGTACCTAAAATCCTTGAAAACAATCCTCCATCTTGTTGACTTGCACGAGTGTTGGACCTTTCTGCACTAATTAAACGCCGGACTTCCTCCTCTGTGTACTTTTTTCCGTTGTTCATTGAATTTTCAAGTTTTTTCCTTTCATCTTCTCTTATCATATCTTCCACTCGTTTAAAAATATCGTTGCTATAGTATGACCGACCGTTGTTCTCTCCCATTTTCTCGATCATAGACAATATATGGCGTACTTCTTTCTCACGGTCTTCCTGTTCCCCTCTATATCCAATGGCAGTATACCTCCCTTGTATTTCATCAAGTAGAATTTTAAGGTTTGAATTGTTATCCATCGTGCTTACAAAGTCCTCAATAGTCATATTTTCATAATCTAACCTATCTTTTTGGGTGAATACTACAATCAGGAATTTTTTTACCTCCTCTCCAAAAACTTTTATGAATAAATCAACGGTCTTTTGTTCTTCTTCAGTAAATCTTCCCACTTGAACAACTAAGATTATAGCATGAATTCCAGGAGATGTTAGGAAATAGCATTGGGATATTTCTCTGAGAACTTCGATTGCTGTTCGATTTGTATCAAAAAGACCTGGGGTATCAACAACGACCAGTTTTTTGCCGAATCTCTCTGATTCGTTGTATTCTGTTTTGGTTGTGACAGATGTTGCAGATACTTTAGTCTTGAATGCATTAAATCCTAGTATGGTGTTACCCGTTGTACTTTTGCCAACTCCAGTCTTTCCAATTAATATTATCCGCACCTCGATATCGATTCCTGTAAAACAATGATTTTAAACAGAACTGCTCAAATATCGAACTCATGTAAGAATACAGTTGTAAGATCTTGTAGATTATCTCAACTTCAATTTTCAAACCATCACAGAATCAAGAAATATACGGAGATAACGAACAGTATTCAAGCTCAAAAATCCATTAAACAATACAAAGTAGGAGCAGAGCAAACACGGACCTCCAAAACATCAGAGGTGGGATTAGATGCCATGGAGGAGTGAGCATCCCCAGCCGACCGGTCACACTCGCCGTGTGCTTCTTGTAATCATATTATGGATTTACTTGAAAGTTAAGGAAACGGTCACAAGAAACGTACATTCCCCGAACCCTTACTCGCAAAAACAACTATCTATTTATCTCACTCATTTAAGAGTCCCTATAATTAAGAGGTACAGGTAGAGTTTACCTGTGTTACCTTGATTTAAGAAAGTTGTCTAATGAGGTATGGAGATAACAAACAAAATTCAAGCTTCTAAATTAGATGATTTTACCCGATAGAAATTATGAACTATAAGACAGTCTGACTAATTAAATAGGATATAATTCAATGTAAAGGGATTTGTTTTCAAATTATTGTATCTTACGCTTCTTGGTCAATGGTTATCAAAAATATAAATTATTTAACGATTTGAGTTTTATTACGCAAACTAAAAATGATTTTGAAATTATTTATTGTTATAATGCTTTGAAACCTTGATTATAAAATAATAGAAAAAAAAAAACAATTTTACCAACATAACATAACTCATTTATGCAGGTTGTTTATACATACAGGTAAACTGTATTGCTAATGCCAATAAAAATTGACAAGGGTTCTAAAATAAATAATTTAACAACTCTATTCAATGTAAAAGGTGAAGATAACGGCTTACTATAAGTATGAGGCACGCCACCAAACTACGACCCAGTAATAGGTTATAATTATTAATACGATTACCATAATTATAACGACCATAGAACTTACGAAATGCTGACCTTAAACCAGGTTTTTTTTCAATGACAGTATCTAAATATAATTGTTCTTTTCCTTGACAAAGGTCTCCATATTTTTTCGTTTTTTAAAAATTAAATTATCATCTATATCATTATATTATCATCAATCACATTAATCATTAATGTTAAATAATCAACTCGATAATGTATCTGTGTTATGTTTTTTCTGATGAATTTGCAAAATCACTGTAAACTGCTTTCACAAATATAAAATTGTGTTCTTACTTTTATGTGCCCTTTGCAGAGGCATAAAATCTTTCTTGTGTAATTTTTGTATTTCGTTACCATTCTTTTAAACTTTACATTTTAAGATCCGACAAGAGAGATAAAAGAGTGAGCTCATAGGATATTGAATGCTCATTGTTGTGGTATAGACACTAGTTAATCATGCTTTTCACTGCAGGAGGTGTCGACATAAACGTTCAAGGACTAACATGAATAAACAGTTCTTTTCATTGTGGAAAACAATTGTTATGCAATCTCTTTTTAATATATGGCAGACAGAAATGGTCGTCCTAGGAATTTAAATGTGCAGTAAAAGTGGACTCAATTTTCATTACAGGCAAACAGTCTGTTGCACAAATTGATCTGTAGGAAAGGGAAAAATAATAATTTTGTCTTGCTTAAACATAATAATACTATCTGCGATCTTGAAAGACGGCGATTTCTTACATAAAGAGTTCAAAACAAGACTTAAATTTTTATAAAACATATTTTGAAATTTGATATGTTTACCTTGGACCATTCAAATTGACAAAAACACCATTGTCAACGAACTTAAAACCTTCTAACATGTATTTAACTAGAAAGGCGTGTTTTTATTTTGTAAAAAATCCACGAATCGAAAAAACGTATATTCTCTCTGCAAAAGTGTGTTTCCTTTCATTAAAAAATATCTGTCTACTTCTACTCTTTATTACTTTGATTTGTTTTCTGCGCCGAGTTCTTTCAGTTCAAAAACTGGTCATGGCAGCCTAGTGGAAGGGCGTTCTCTTCGTAAACGGAGCCCCGGGTTCGATTCGCTTTCGCTGCGCGGCGTCAAACCTAAGACGTATACATAGGTAGTGACTATTCCTTCGCCAATAGTCCGGCATTGGATGCGAAAGTCACGGGTCTTGCGGATGAGACCTGAAAAAACCGAGGTCCCATGTCACGGTAGGCGTTAGCACGGTAAAGATCCCTCACTGCTCTATGGCCCTGTGTGCCGAGCATAGGTCTAAATTTGAAGCCCTTCACCGGCATACGGTAACGTTTCAATATGAGTGAAAAATTTTCGAATTGGATGTTAAACAACATACAATCAATCAAACATTTCAGAAAAGAGTCCCAAAGAGCTGTGCTACAATTCATCCTTAGACATCGCCTTCATCATGACCGGCCAGGGTTGCCATCCATTGCCATACAGTGATACAAGCTATCGTGATGGGCGCTGCCAAGTGAGGAATTTTGCTCACCTAATCTTGTTGTCTGTAAACAGGGTGAAGCTGCAATCGAGATGGACACTACTACTTCTCAATAGGAGGGATTTTGCTCACCATATCGTATTGAATGTAAACAGGGTGAAGTTGCAGCACGATTATTATCAATCAATTTTAGACAACGTCAAGGTCACAACTGGCCATCTTATAATAAAGTCAGTATTGTCTCAGTAGCTGACAGTGCGAATTGCCATATGGAGGGAATTTAGCTCCCGAAGCAATTAACAGAGCGCAGCTGCAACATGATTATGTGGATAACTTGTCAGTGGAAAACAATTCACTGAATAATCAGCAGTGAATATTGATTTATTTATTGAAATGTTGTTTTGTTTTAACATAAATTTACTACAAATTCAATGAATTGAATATTGACTGGTTGAATCGAATTAATATTATATGAATTGAATATTGATTGATGGAACTGAATATTGATTGTTTGTTTGATTATTAAATGATGAATTCTTATTATTCATCATTGATTGACTTATGATTGATAAGGCTGTTGCACCGCAAAATTGAGAAAGAAATACCAGTCTTATAGTGTAATATTTAAAATGTGTATAGTTGATATCAATTGATAATATTTGTTCTCTTTGATTGGAGGTGTGCCCTAAACCAATTGCGTCGTCACCAACTGAATACATCTGTGTTATATGATTGATTTGCAACCAGCGTGACCCTAAAATTCCGAACCTAATAAATAAATAATTTAGAAATGGTGATACTTGTTTTTGATAGCTGGTATATGATAATATCTGTCTATTTTTAACTCTTTTATATCATTCTCAAAGTTAGCTGCTTGAAACAATGTTCAACACTTTTTGTACTTGCTTACATTAACTTCAGATGTCACCACCACGTGCTAGGGAAAGAAAAGTGAATGCTCAATCCTTTGTAGATTTAAGGGAAGGAACATAATAACACACTCGTTTCTAGTTAAAGAATACGCACTTCAACATATTATCACCACATCATTTTTTTTCAATTTGTGTAAACCCACTTAAAAATATTATTATTTGGAACACTTGTTCCCGATTTCCGCAAATATTAGTTACTATTACAATGAAAGACCATTCCTTTTGCACTTTCTTAAAATATTAAAATTTATATACATACCTGGATATCGTTTCTTGCAGTGTTGATCATCGTCTCCTACAAATGATAAGATAAAGACTTTAATTTTGGGAACATCTCTATCTTCACTCCAACTGAAAAGTTATTGGTTAATAAACTATTTTGGCTTTAAAAATTAATAAATAGATAAACGCAAAGAAAAGTTGAAAGACTTTGTCTTATTTTCCTTGGCTTGGTATAAGATGGAGTTCCATCTTTTAATCCAAGCGATGGGTGCTTCCTGGTTGTACTAAAATCTTTGACACAGTGACTGTAATCATTAACTTTGACCCACATATCATGACTGATATTTGTCAGTTTCAGAAGTTGCATTTATCTGTTATACATATACATCTCCTTTCGTTCACACTATGCTTTTTACCATGTAGATTACCCCGTTAAATATAAATTGGTAAAATAAATATATTATATTATTTTCTATCCAGTATGTTTACTGTATACTTAAGCTGTGGGGTCTCCTTTAAGAAAAAGATTCCCAGGGGAAGTACATGTATGACTACAGATGGAATGAAAAAGGTGAGGATTACGAATATTGATCAATCTTAAAACATCTTCAAACAATACAAATCTGTAAACAGGGCATAAAACATGGGTCCCCGGAAATTCGAAAGGTGGGATGGGGTGCCAAGGAGGGGTGAGCATTCCCTGTTGATTGGCCACATTGAGCTCTATATATTGATAAGGTAGACAGGCCATTCCATAGTCAAATTAAGTATTAATAATGAAGCACATTAGCTTAAATACGACCAAATGATAGATTATATAAGGTATCGAGGGCATTAAAACGACCATAGAATTTACGAAATGCTGACATTAGATGCGGTTGTTTAAATCGTTGTATAATCAACTTATTTGTCAGTAGCTGTCTTGATTGAAGAATTGATCGTACTCGGAACATGCTCTTTAGTATCGAATAAGTTGGAATAAGTAAACACCATATGCAGGTGATAGCGGAATATTACTACTTAAATAAGGAAAGTTGACGATAGAGAAGCTAAGTCATCTGGTTTGGCATACAACCTCGTTGTTAGTTGGTCGCCCGCGTGGCGCAGTGGGTAGAGCGTCTGCTCTAGAGTCGCGAAGTAAGGTGTTGATCCTTACGTCGCGGGTTCGAATCCCACTGTGGGTCGTGGAGGCCGGTCGTTCGGATGAGACCGCATAAACTGAGGTCCCGTGTCGCAGTAGGTGCTGGCACGAAAAAGATCCCTCACTGTTCAGTGGCCGTAAGTGCCGAGTATAGGACAAAATTTGCAGCTCTCCACCGGCAATGGTGGCGTCTCCATATGAGTGAAAAATTCTCGAGAGGGACGTTAAACAACATACAATCAATCAATCGTTGTTATTTGGCCCTTGTCGTCTTAAGTCAGTAAAACATCCAAATATGAAACAGATGTGACAGGCTTTGTGCTGTCTTTTATTTCAGATTTACTGGAATATATCGAGTCGACATATATATGAATGGAAGTAGCTATCGTTGATTGATGTTACGTCGACGACATATCTGAATGTCGAGTTGAAGGTCAAAGCAAGTGTTTTCTTCTCTAAATTCTTCTTTATAGGAATATAAAAAAAGTTTGACTTATAAAGTACGTATATAATGCAGAAGAATTATGGGCCATCGGAATTCTAACAATTTATTGGAAGAACTGATCTCCGAAAACTACATAAATGTTATCAGCTTGGGGCCGTCCTCTTTAGAGTAGTTTCAAGATTTTCAGGGGGACTAATATGATGCTGAGGAATGTAAATCTCAAGAGTAAGTCGTACTCTCTGAGGGAAGTCTCCCTTCAGAGAGACACTTCCGACGGAAGTCTCACTGTGACGGGGATCTAGCTCTACAACACTGTCTTTATGCTTTATTTTCAAAACATTCCTATTTAATACGCAAAGAAAATCAGCTCATTATCAACAATTAAAGAAATAGTCTTACGAAATACCATTTTTTGCTTCACAGTTGGATGACAAAACTTTGTGCAAAGTGACAGAAAGGATTATCAAAAAAATTATCTTCAGATCCATTGTACTTCTTTCCCTTTGAATTCTGCAAGATAAGTGTGATTATTGAAATTAGACATTTGAAAGGATTACCGTATAAGTGGAAATTTTAGCGAGACGCAAAGAAGATGGGAGAGCAAAGCGAGCGCAATGCTTATCGTGCAACAAACATGGAGGTGAAAAGTTAAATCTCAATTATAACAAAACTTTCTTTGATATTTCATCAAAAATTAAAGTATGCTTTATGTAAAATCTCCGAAATTTGCAAAAATCTCACTAAGATTGAAATTATTTGCCTATGAAATAGCATACACACACTAGAGATGGCAAAAAGGATCATTTTCTGATACTAAAACACAATTTTTTGATATGAGTGGGTCTTTGCTCCATATTTTTTTCAAAGTTTATACACAAAGTTTGCCAAAAATTATACATTATTTTTTTAATAATAGAATGATTTTTAATTTGCCGATACAAATTTACTCAGAAAAGTTTTGTGTATCATAAAACCATAAGTTTCAATAATGAGAACTTTACTCTAAATACTAAATTCATAAATTGATTATGATTTTTATATATCTGAAGCTATAGGCATTTTGCGCGCCTTGTTCACCCATCTCTTTTAGCGATTAATCCCAATAACTGTTAATATTTTTTTTAGCGATATGTTATTTAAGGGATTCTATAATTTCAATTATAGAGATCTCAGGACCTTCGCTTATAATGCGAAAATTGAAACCTTGCTAAAATTCTGCTTATACGGTATTAAAGGCTTTAACAGAATAGAATATAAAAATGGTATAAGAGTTTTCAAAACAAGTATAAAACTTTGAAAGAAAAAAATTGAAAGCATCATTTAAAAAAATATCCTAAAAGATTAAAAGGATTATGAAAGCTTTTAACAAAATGTAATGTTCAAGATTGATTTTGGAGTTTTCTAGACAGTAAATCTACGGCAATAGTAAATCAAGGTATCAAAGTGATGCTGTATTAAATTAAATTTTATCAGAGATTTAATCAAAACAAACAAGTTTTTCCAGCAGTAAATTAAAGTATTTTTAAATTCATCTTAGGGTTTATTTCTTTTAACTCTTACATGCAATTCGTTAACTATTTTAATTAAAAAGAGTTGATTACTTGTAGTCAACAAATTACAATAATTGAAATGAAATATATGGAGATAACGAACAGTATTCAAGCTCAAAAGTCCATTAAAGAATACAAAATAAGAACACGGACCTCTAAAAATCAGAGGTGGGATCAGGTGCCATGGAGGAGTGAGCATCCCCTGCCGACCGGTCACACCCGCCGTGTGCTCTTGTCATGATCGGGAAAGAACGGAAAAATCCGTCGACAATTCAGTGTGTTAATAATGGCCTAACAATTAGTATGAAAAACGTCAGTCAGCATTTGACTCAATGATAAATTGTATTTGCTGACAAATATCATTGTATCGACTATAGAACTTACGAAATGATGACTTTAAACGAGACAGCTGATATTCTTGTTTCATCAACTTGTTTGACAATAATTTACCTCGTTTTAGAAATTGTACATACATGTACGTAGAACATGCTCTAGCGTATCGAATCAACTGAGAGATATATATCCCGTATGTAGGTGATGAAGGTATATGCTCTGAGTCTCAAGAAAGTGATAAAGTTTTCTTGTAAGTTTAAAGTATTATATAAATAAAAATGTGAAAAAGCAGGTAATGAAAGTATTACTGTGCATCGATGTAATATAAAAGTAGACAATCTTAATTTTACTTTAGGATAAAGTTTAAAAGGAATTTTTTACACAAATCAAACTGAAATTAGAATTTTACTTAACGAAGTTGCATTTCCAAACACTAAGTATAGATAATTGAGGGTGGTAAGTTTCAAAGTCGTGGCAGCTTTTCGAATATTTTATTTCTGCAAGAGACTACCATGTCCAAGTAATTTTATTTTAGTTTATAAAGCTTGGTTTTTGGTTCTTAACTCGAATAAAATTATCTCTCCGTGGAAAATAAAAATGAAGACTCATTGTTTCATTACTACACCCATCTGTTAGATCAGTTTAAATTTTCCGTAGGATATTCATATACTCTGGTAACATCTTAATAAATAATTATCAATTAAAGTTTGTCTCAGTAAACTACATTTAAACACACACACAAGAGAGAGAGAGAGAGAGAGAGAGAGAGAGAGAGAGTTTTATTTTTAAACAACAGCATTCGTTTGTGTAAAAGAATTCCTTTTAAAATTAAATACTGGTATGAATTTAAAGATTCATTTACATCACTAATTTTTGAAAACGTAACGTAAGAAAAGGAATTAATGAACCATTAAATATTTCAATGTATATGTTTTAATATGAAATAAATACTCACCCATTTTGTACTGGCTAAAAAATTATCGAAAATTGTTTGTTATAAAGGAAGGCTTACGTAAGAGTGTCAGGTCTATGCAAGGGCGTTTCATGCAAATGAGGTTATTAAAGGAGGTAAGGAGATGCCTTTTGTACAGAAAAGGCTCAGCCATGCTAAGAGAGCCAGGTGGAGTTCGTATGATTGGTAAACACTATTCAAATAATTCAATGATTTTTTTTAGCAATTTCGATTAACAACGAGATCTCATCTGAATTCTATATCACTTGATGTTTCATGCTATTGACCTATGACAGCTTCGTTGCAATGACAAATCCTGTCTAACTTTATATTTACATAAATAAGATGTAAGTATAATAAGACTACTCAAAAGATTGGTGGTATTGCTGCACCAATGTCGACATTTTTTTTTGTTTTTCTACCATATGTTGGAGATTTGAATCGAAACCGATAAACTGCATGATCTACCGTCTAACATATGTTTCTGTTAATTCAAATCAAAAATGAAGTTTAAGATTGTAGCTGTCCAACCATAGAGGCGCAAATACAATCCATCTCAGCATGGAAGAAGGACAATGTATTATTTTGACAATTTGGCATAAATGAATGAACGACGGTTTTTAAAATTCGTTTAATTATACATGTAGATATAATATCAAGCGGTGGTTATTTTGATTCTTTTATTCAACCAATTAAGTTTACAAAAACAATTATGATTCTTGAAAGCAAATGAACTGTTTACAGTGTGAAAAAAGAAATTTGCGTGAATGAAACAACCCTTTTGTAAAAAGTTCGAAGACTCATTGAATTTTTAAAATGGAAACAGAATTTTGTGTCGCTCTGAACGTGCAACTATTAGGTGCGTGTGTTTAAATTTAACAAGGACATATATCTGATCAGTATAATCTGCGATTTTTTATTTTGGTTCCGATTTCTGGTAGAGAAAAAAAATGGACCCCTTTGAGATGAAGGTATTTACTTAAATTCGATTATTTTTTGAGTTGATGAGTACATCCCGACATCTGGCATATCGATGATGTAATGTATCCCATAGGAGTCGGAACCGGGAGGGATAGGGGGCTTACCCCCCTTTATTGCAAAATAAGACATAATATAGGACTTAGGGGGTCTTAGCCCCCCAAACAATTTTTTGTTGGTTTAGCCCCCCCTTTCAATTTGCTTCCGACGCCTATGTATCCAGTGTAAATAAATGTCCCATCTGCTGGTTTACTCCGTAACAAAAGACCAAATAAGGGAGATAATTTCGAAATTTGCATAATGAGATACATTGTAATGCATCAAAATCGTGCAGCAATTTTATTAATCCTTGGAATGTTCTTATTTTATATGTTTATGAAAAATTAATTGAGATATATCCTTAGATCGAAGTTGATTTGTAAGAAGATGTTCTCTAACTGAATCGTGCTTGGGAGAAATGTGTGATGGCTTTGTTTTCATACGGATTACAATACTGTGTGGAAAATACCCTCAAATTTGTCGTTAAGTTAAACTTCTCATGAAATACTTTGTACCCAAGTAATATTAAAATTTTTGCCAACCACGGGTATTTCGGGTACATACGGATACCTTGAGATTATTTCTATCACAAAATAATAAATGTGTTTATCGGCTGTGTGCCGAAGCTATTTATGTAAAAGACTTCAGAAAATATTATAAATGCCCGTCAAGTGATATGTGTTACTTAATAATACCCAATGTGATAATATATATCCGAGGAAACCTCTATATAAATTGGTTAAATACTTACTTAAATACAAAACTTACAAATTAAAATCAAAACCTACCTCGCAATACAATATTATGTTCTGAACGCATTTTAAAGCTTCGGGAAGCCTATACAATGCTGCGTTATAGTAAACGGGGTCGCCCCTAGATTAAGGGGCGACTGCGTTTATTACAAATAAATGTACTTAGCGTGCTTGTTTAAAGATATTCATTTTATTCGAACACAGATCGTCGTTATTAATTTTAAATATCCCTTTTTTAACATAGTGCAATTTTTAGGGGACGGCGGCGGCTGTGATTATTAATTGATTGAATTAAAGCACACATAACACATCAATATGTATTGACTCGCAATTCTCAATACTCAGTACTTGCTTGAATTAAACAGAATCAAAAGGAGATCTATTACCAAAAGATTATCTATTACAAATATTGGTATCAAATTCAGGAATGTGAGGAATGTTCCATTTTCACATTCGGTAATTAATTTTGCAGCACTGTTAAAGATGCATAAAGAGGACGGGGCCTAATTTATATGGAATATGTTAACTGTGACATCACAAAAAAGAGCAATTCTTTGCAATACCAGAACGTAAAGTCATTTACAATTTTGAAGTGTATAAGAGTAATTCTCATTATGACGTCAAAACGTAAAAAAAAATCGTTTATGAAAATGAACATGAACACTTAGGAGGGTTATGTTTCAGATGTTCGATATCTAGAAAATTTAGAGTTTTTGCTGTAATTAAAAAGTTTGGAAGCAATATTACATGAAAATTTGTAAGAAATTCAAGATGTGGACTTTAACTTGAAATATGGAGACTAACATTTACTGTGTCGAATTCTTTTGTTGGCAAATTGAAGTTTAAGAAGCAGTTACTTGAGCATTATTCTTTTCCGCAAACGTGGTGGTTTGAAAAACCTGCAAATTTCAATAATCACAGATGCTAGTCTGTATTCCGGTGTCCAAAAATCCAAATCTGCACTCTCTTTGGCCTTTCCAAATAGACTATTGAAAACTTTGAAAGGGACAGAGTAAAGTTTGGGTGCGGATGTGAGGAAGTCATGCTTATTTACGTAGGGTAGTAGTGAATGAAAAGAAATATCGTGTATAATAGGTTCATTGTAAGCCCGATGTCCATCACAGGCTTATGTCTCTACATATTGTTAAAAGTTCTTATCACATTTACATTAATACTCTCTAAGCCTGAAAGATTCCCAACACCATTGTCAAAGATTTTCAGTTTGTGAGGTAACTGTGTATCAACCTCCTTTTTTTTTTTTTTTTTTTTTTTTTTTTTTAAAGTACAGTGCCATGAGCTCATAAACATGTAATACATATGCTTGTTATCAAATTTCTGTGTCTCAAAATTCAAAAGGGCAGGTAAAATTAACTATTCGGAGTATTCCTGAAAATTATGTCTAAGGTCACGGTGAATGTGACTGTTATGCTGGTATTTTTCAAAATGTCTTTAGACAAAAAGTACACATGCTTATTACCTCATAATCCATAATTTTTACAGTTCCCAAAATATAGGATGAGACAGACGGACGGACAGACAGACAAACTCTGAAAATTGTTCCTTAAGTGTCACTCTGTTTTGTAGGCAAGGCGTAAAATTATTATTGGTTTTTCAGGTATTAAATGAAATTAAAAAAAGTTCATTCTTCTCAATAAGACTAAAAGTTTGGCAATGTATTTGCTTTTCTTAACCTATACGATGGTATATTATGTGGTACCCCCTTGATTCTAGAAAAATACCATCCTCAACACTGGGTGACCCCTCCTCCCTGCAATATCTTATAAAAAGTTTCCCTCAGATATCTTTGATATTTGTTCTTTCATACCTTGAACTTTAATAAAAATGTAGATTAACATTTTTCACATGTTTTAGTTAATCTTTAAAATGGAAAAAAGTCTTTGTTAACAATAACTGTTCATATTTTGGTGCATATTTCACAATATTGGGTTTTCTTTTGAATTCAGGATTGATTGTTTGGGAAATTGGGGAATAATATAATAAGAATCTCAATCAACAACCGAAAAAACGAAGAATCGCACAAGGTATCCCTCGAGCAATAGTACCTAAAATTCTTGAAAGCTATCCTTCGCCTGTTCATTTGCACGAGTGTTGGACCTTTCTGCACTAATTAATCGCTAGACGTTCTCTTCTGTGTAATTTTTTTCGTTGTTCATTGACTTTTCAAGGTTTTCTTTTTTCATTTTCTCTTATCATAGCTTCCACTCGTTTATTAATATCGTTGTTATAGTATGACTGACCGTTGTTTTCTCCCATTTTCTCAATCATAGACAATATATGGCGTACTTCTTTCTCGCGGTCTTCCTTTCGCCCTCTGTATCCAATGGCAGTATACCTCCCTTGTATTTCATGAAGTAGAATTTTTAGGTTTGAATTGTTATCCATCGTGCTTACAAAGTCCTCAATAGTCATATTTTCATGTTCTAATCTATCTTTTTGGGTGAATACCACAATCAGGAAATTTTTCATCTCGTCTCCGAAAACTTTCATGAATAAATCAACGGTCTTTTGGTCTTCTTCAGTAAATCTTCCCACTTGAACAACTAAGATTATAGCATGAATACCAGGAGATGGTAGGAAATAACAATGGGATATTTCTCTGAGAACTTCGATTGCAGTTCGCTTCGTATCAAAAAGACCTGGGGTATCAACAACGACCAGTTTTTTGCCGAATCTCTCTGATTCGTTGTATTCTGTTTTGGTTGTGACAGATGTTGCAGAAACTTTAGTCTTGAATGCATGAAATCCTAGTATGGTGTTGCCAGTGGTACTTTTGCCAACTCCTGTCTTTCCAATTAGTATCATCCGCACCTCGCTATCGATTCCTGTAAACAATTTTTTTTATATAAAGCTAACTGCTCAAACATCGAACTCATTTAATTCATATTTAAGAAATACAGTAGTGTACGTAGTTATGAAGATTCTGTAGGTAATTTTAACTTCAAACCGTTAAAGATTAACCCAAATCACATACTGTATTTACTTGAACGTTAAGGACACGGTCACAAGAGGAACACATCACAACACAAGTTCAATCATTAAACAATGTTTATCACAACACTTGTACTATGAAGTATGTAGTGATATAGGTAGAATAGAAGATGGTATTAGTTTGTACTGCCTCAAGTCACTTTAAACTAAGCAAATATAATCCGCCATAGTATTCAATTTTATGTACACTGTAATACCATATAACATAGGTAATGTTTTAAATACAGCC